TTCGCAAAAGACCCGGCGAGTAATTAATTTACATTCACGCCCGCGGAAGAGGAAAACAAGGCGAGAGGAACCGGGAACGGCGAGGCCAGACCGCCGACCCTCGTACATCGTCATTAATAATAATTGCGGAGTTAACAAAGGCGAGCTAAGCTGGAATTATTAAATCCGGTGAGATAGAAAATTCTCGTTGCTCGGGCTTTATAAGCCGATCTCTCGCCGTCTTTCTATTTCTTTACCGCCGGTAAAGCCAGTTGCCTCTTCCGCTTAATTCGCTCTATGCTTCCTCTCTGGCGCCAGCGACGACTGTTAACGAATCCGTCTCGATTCGCGATAATTAGATAAGGGGTTGATCACATCTAAACTTTACTCTTTGTCTAAGAAACTTAACTGTTAATTGGCTGAGTAAATCTGCTACAAACCTAGTAGAATTCTTCTATCTACGGTGACTTTCGTGGAGCTTTGAACATTACATATTTATAACATTAATATTTCAAAACGTATTTTGTAATTTTCATCTTCACCCTAACGATATAAATTTGCGATGTCAAGCTTCAGAATTGTATTATTTTCGCCAGTACTCGGTATTATTCGCTGTCGCGAATTTGTTAAAAGAATATGGTAAATACCAATTTTCATTTGTGGATAGCTATTATCATTTACTAACAGTACTAGTAATAATTCCCTATCGGGTCGTATATCCTTTCCCCGTCTCCGTGGTCTCGTATAAATTATTTAGATTGACGAAATCAACTTGTCCCGCGACGATAATACCTGAGAGGGGAGTCGGTCGCCCTCGACGCGCATTCCGCGGCTTTCCTGGCAGCCGGAGGTTGCGAGGAGAAGTTGTCCCGGGAGGAAGGAGCGGTTATCAATTTGACAGTGACGCGGTTAAGAGTGGAAGAAGGAGGACCCAGATGCCACCGCGAGGACAGAAGAGAGTAGTCGCGTGGAGGGGTTGCGAAGGCATTCAATTTCCCTCTTCTCGCGGATGGAGGGCGGCGCACACCCTTCCGTTCGGAGCTGTCACTCCAACGAGAGTTATGGTCGCCGAATGAGTGGCTGGGGCGGGCCAAACGTCGCATAACTTACTTCTTCTTCTCTCGTTTCTCTGCTCTTTTCCAGGATGTCTATAAATACGAGGATCGAACCTGGCTACCGGGCGACACAAGTTCCTGCGTTGTTCCTGTAGGGTCCTTCGCGGTGGGGTGAACTACTGAACTAGAAACGTTAACGTTTATCGTAGGGATGACTCGACAATAGTATCCCTACCATCCTGACTACGGAGTCGATATTTGGAAATTTTTGTCTGGGCCCTGCCCTGTGTCTCTTTGCATCTTGCACAGCTGTTATATCTTTCTCTTCTAAGAATCCACGCCTTTAAATGGTCGATTGATTTTCCTATAATTCTACTCTAAAGTGATCGAAAACAATCGATTTGCCTTCGAACGTTCTCAAGTATTTTTACATCGAAAGGAAATAGAGTTGTTTCGTCGAAGCTCTCGATTGTTGAGTCGGAGTCCTCGTCTTGAAGAGTTCGCGCCACTTGGAGGAAATTTTACCTCCCCGAATTCGAGTTCGTTCAATGTTTGGAAGTTTCTTCTGTCGAGGAACAGTAGCGGAGTGTGTTATGGTTACTCTCGTGTCCCGAGACACAAGTGGTGTGTCCAATCTCTAGCTTTATTTTTCTTATCTACACTTGAATTACCAAGACAGGCGTGTTTGTTCGAATGTGTCTCGTAATCTCCAGTTTATATTTTCGTTTCTTCTGTGGCTCCTTCGCATCCGGGTTTCCCTCTAATCACTCTCGTAAAACTTTTCTCTAGTCGCGTGGTTTTCGTTTCCTTTCCCCCTTCCGCTCCCCAAATAAACGAGCAGTCCTATAGTCGCGCAGCATCAAATCTGGCTCCTGTATGAATTACTTCCTGTCTGAATTAATTTATTAAATATTTATACAAAACAGGACAATCATTAATATTATTATTCTGTTCTATAAATTCTAATTTATCCATTTCTAAAATGAATTTCAGGTGCATAAACAGAATTAGTACGACTTCCAATATTCCTCGCTTAACTATCAGCAATTTGTTTTTATACCTATCTTGATCACGTGCAAATAAAGCGTTGCAGGAAGCGAAAACGGAAATGGAAAAATGAATATCTCCGCTGAAAGAGTCGCGTTGTTGTCGTACAGCGTCGGCGTTCACCCGATGGTCGCGGCGAAGAAGAGCGAAAAACCAACACGGCGAAATTTCATACCGCAAAAACGGTGTTGTACGGTCGTCGGTTCAACTCCCGGGAACAAGTGCCTCCATCTAGAGAAGTTAATTACCAGAAATAAACGGCCGTCGAGTCGTAAAACTTGTACGAGGCGGCGACTTACACGGATACGTGTATGTATCTAGTTAAAAATTTATTTACGAGGAAAGTTCATCGCGCGGATTAGGACTTTAATCTCGCATAAAAAAAGAAAAAAAGAAATGAAAAACACGTCGCGGGCGGTCGTGGAATCGTTAGTTCCCGCGACCAGGCGAGTCTCGAGGGAAACCTCGAAGCAAACGGATATCGACGAAGCAGCCGAACCGTAAATTTCGATCGCATGATCGACAATATCGCTGCTAAGCCACAGGTCGATGGAAACGATGACAGTTAACGGATTGTACACTTGGAAATGGCGTTTTAAAACGGATGGTCAAAGCTGTAGGTAGCAGAAGGGAGGGAGAAATATTGTTAAAGTGTCTGTACCAGATTTAATAGTTATTCATTGTGACATTTCCAAGAAATTAATTTAATTTACTTGAGTATAAACTTTAGTCGATATTATATGAGTGGAGAGACATTCGTATAAAAAGCTCTCGAGAGTTTATTTAAAAAGATATTTTCATTCCTTTTAGTAGCAGTCTACATACTCGCTATCAATTTATTCTTATCGACTGTAGAATCTCAACATCTTGATTCGATATAGTACCTGCTCGATTCGATATTTAACATGTCCCTTTATTTATTCATCGAGTATGAGACGAATTCTCGATAAAGGCCATTCTAATTGAGGATTAAGAGGAGCTGGTTTAAATCTGTATGCAACGCCACCAACACGCGGAGAGGTATAAAAACGAGCTTCGTCGATGAGACCATCAAAGCGGACGATCTGTTTACCCGAACGGGGCGGAATCGGACTTCCCTGGAATAGGAAAATAATATACGACCGTTTAGCGGGAAACCGTATCGCGAACGAAGGCATCCACGGTTCGGCAAACTCGATAAATTCGGCCGCCAGGAATGGCAGCCAACGACAGCTGTTTCCTGAACCTGTTCCAAAACCGTCAACGGTCCACTTTACTCCCAGTCATGATATTTGGTCACGTAAATACAGGACGCTTCGGAAAAGATTTGGGATTCTTATATACCTCAATCGTTCTCCGTATCAAATTGTGTCAAAGGCAGGCTTCACTTGATAATCTGTATTTGAAAATACAGTAAAATCTTTTTTTACGCGTACACTCTGTTATTCGAACGTCTCCCCATTGACAGTGTCACGAAGTAACTCGTACAAGTGTATTATACTTTTGACAGTTGATTTGACAACTTGCGAAATTTTAATAAGAAGTAACGTCTTATCTAGATTCTTCAGACAACTCGGCCACCTGACAAGGCCCACTTGTCTTGCCATGGAAAGCCCTTTTCTCCTTTGTTTCCTCCCTTGTTCTGCTTCTCTTCTTTCACTTTTCTTTGTCACGAGGTCAAGACAGATTTTACGCCACGCCTGAGACGAAGATAATTCTATATTCAAAAACATGTTGGGGTAATGAAACAGAGGATTAAAGTACGAACAATAAAATGTCTGAATCTCAGTGTTTTCAACCCAATAACTCAGCTGTTGCCTTAAATATTCCAAATGCATATAGGAAAGAATGTAATAACCTTACTGTCGAGATGAAATATAGTATTTGGCGATGGTATGGCTGTTTTAAAACGCTGCGCGACGTCGGCGTCCAGACGGCTCGCGTGTTTCACGATCGTACGAGAAGCCGAGGAGCCGCAGACGTGTAATTTCGGAGCGTCGAAAATGTTTCTCTCGCCTCGGACTCGCGATTGGAAAGCGTTTCTCGGTATCGCAATTATCGCGGGGCAGCAACACACCGACGAAAAAGTACGATGTATCCGAGGCCATAATCGCGAGTCGTTGGGAACTGCGTGTTGGGAGGAAGCGGCGTTCGAGACGTGTAATGAAAGCTCGATGAACCGTAATCCGCGTCCCGCCGAAAATAACGACGAGGACTCGCGGTAGTATCCGACCTGGATCGTTGGATGGTTCTGTTGGCATATGCAACACATGTGGCAACATATACTGTTTCGAATGGTATGCAAAGGAGCAGGAAAACGGTTAGACCTGTTTGACCTACGTTTTTATGGTGCTTTCCCAACTCCTCGACGGGGCAGAAGGACGCAGGAAGGGTCCGGTCGTGGCGGTATGAAACTCGTATCCTGAAAGAGTACATATGGTTATAGTTCTCCTAAATTGTTGCCCTTTTAACACATACAGTAGCCCATCGCTACATTTAGTACATTAAATAAATATCGCTATACATGAAAATGAATTCTCTTACTTATAATAGTATTTTCTACTGCGCCACGGCAGACAACACTCATTACGATGCCCCCAATCTTTAATTACCTACAAAAAGAAACGTAATATCGGATAACCATTCGAGCGTTAAGAGACCAAAGTACACTCTATCGAACTGTGTTGGTACTTATTAATTCTCTTGTTACTGTAAAATATTAATGAGGTTCCGTGTTTGAATTTATTTTAATATACCCCTCGTAGCTCCGTGTTCGTTCTTTCCGAAAGGTTATACCACCCAACGATGGGTTATAATTAGCGTTATAATTGCGGCGAACAATCGAAACGTACGAATCGTAATCACGCTCCTCGCGAGCAAAAGAGAGCGCTGAACGAATATAAACGTATATATAATCAAAGCAATTTCCTTTGTTTTCAGCACAATGCATCGCACCCCTGGGGATGGAATCTGGTGTGATTCCCGATGCAGACATCACAGCGAGCTCGAGTTTCGATAGCGGAAACGTCGGGCCACATCACGGACGGTGAGTGAATTATCGTGTATTACCGTCTCGTTTATGGAGCGCATTATGCAGATGCGATGCAATACGCATTCGGAAATATGATAAAATTAACCCCTTTGTGAGGACCGCGGTGCAGAGATCCAATTTCCCGAAATCAGCGCGCTTCGTTAAGCGACCTATTCGGGGATAAATTGAAGCGTTCTCTCGAAAAGGACTCTGCGAACTCCGTCCAAAGAACCCGCCCAACTTTTTCCTAGGTCGTTAAAAATGTTACGAAACGTTGAAATCGTTTTAATTAGTACTTGAACTTCTCTTCAATTTTTTAATTATTCCGAGGCGTGCGAATTCCTGAAAATTTCACGTCAAGCTCATTTTAATTCATTATTTTTTTCAGATTATTTCAAACTTTTTTCATACGTCACCCCTGCTCGTCTGATGAAATTATTATCGACATCCTGGTTCATGAAATTTGACTACAAGTTATAATTTCTGTATGTTAAGCGCAGTAACAATGGCCACAAGAGCTTTTTATATCAAAATCATGATTACGCCTCTGAAATATTTCTATTTCCAATCACTTTTTATTTTACAATATATTAGAGTACAGTGTCTACGAATTCTCAACAAGAATTTCGGAGTACAATGTGCTCCTTAGAAGCAAAAATGGTCTCCGTTTGGCCATGGATCGTTAATTTGAGTAACGAGATACTAATAGGTTTCTGTATCGGAATATATTTATCACTGACGAATAACGTCTCCGTCGAGAAAAGATTTGTCAGCATATCGATTGGTGGACATTTTAAAAAGCGGCGGGAGATTGATGCGGGTGCAATTGTGCGGTGGTGATCGACGACGGAAAAAAGAAAACCCCGAATCCTGATGTGCGATAACGTTTCTGACTCCGAATGCTTTCTACGGCTTTAAACGGATGATCCTCTTCCTGTCCGTCATCCTGTCCACGGCCGAGATAGCTCACGATCGGGACCCAAGCGGTCACCGTATTAATCACCGACTACTAAACTGCACGTCTAATTCGGCCTTCAAGCCGCAATGAGGATTAATGACGCGGGATGTCCCGCATGCGGAGCCATTTGTATCGAACGTTCCGAAGCTCTTAAGCATCGTTAACGTGACCTCCGCGTATTCCTTTGATTATACGTGCCAGCTAATTACCATTTCAGAAAGAGAAATCTAGCCAAGTAGTGTACCCAAATAAGATCTTCCAAATCGGACCACCCATGGCGTCGACGACCACACGCTCGCGAATCGTTTAATCGCGACATTTCGCTCGAGTGGATTTTTAAATTCCTCGATAACGTCGCCCGAAATAGTTGTATAGTCGTCGTGAAGAATATCTTTGCGGATACATTAGCATTCGAATGTCTTTGAACTGCTGTCTTTATGGTCCTTGACACGGTGCTAAGAGGAATAGTAATTACTTTGTTTTGGTAATCAAATTTTGAGAGATTTATTGCAAACTTTCGGTGATGTTCTTATTCAAAGAAGATTCTCGGAAAAAAAAGATGAATATTCATAATAACTAAACCACGAGTACCACTGTCTTCATCTTTAAATTGTTGTGGTAACTTTGTTTAATATCCAGGATGACATTTACGAACTCCCGAGGTGCCAGCGGGTGGTCCCAGTCTTTTGAACGCCACTGTAAATGAATGCAGAATTTACCGAAACGCTAAGAATGCGTACCCGTGTTTATGGCACGAGGGGGCTTCCCTGATAGAGGGTGTTAATGTCTGAATGGTAATTGAAGTTTTAACGCGTAAGAAGCTATCGCGATATTTTTCTTCTAGCTACGATATAAAAGCAAGGAAAGCCTTTTCGATGCAACGCCGATAACGTCGCTTGTGAACTCTTTACCAGTAGACCGTCTAGACCTTCTTCAACGGTATTTCCATGGCTTCCTGATACTGCGGGCTTCCCGGTGAATACCCTATTTACCCCATACGACTCCGTTTACCCTAAAATACGCGCATCTAACTCGTATTACGTGTTCTCCACGCTTTTCGAGGTAGCTTCGACAAAGACACCCTTGAGGAACCAATATCTCCTTGGCCAGTATTCTACCATGAATTTTCCAGTTTCGAGGAAACACCCTTAGAAATTCTGCATGGGAAATAATTTTATTTGGTATGCTAATACCTGAGATAGAAACGTACTTAAAATATAGGTAGTTACACAGGTAGTACATTTTATTTTTAAATGAAAATTTACAGTCAGTCTCTTAAGTATTCGTACCTTTCATGTCGATAGAAGAAATTTATCTAAATTGGATGATAGGTTTCACGTTTACAAATAAATATTTCATTATTAATACACGCATGTGTGAAGTTTACTCGTGTACATATTTAGAATGAAACATTAATCTGGAAACATCAAATCTATCATTTAAATTAGACAAATTTCTTGAATAGACATAGAGGGTACGAATACTCATGGGACTGAGTGTATACATATAGATTCCACCACATCTTGCATACAATAAAAAACGAACTTCGCAATTTCTAAAAAATTCACTTAGTCGTTAGCCAATTTCAGCGACTCGGAGAGCACGCGAAGGAGATCACCGGCACGCACGGGCCATAAAAATAAATCCCGCGTTCCTCCGACGCTCCAGCAACAGCGTCGTTTGTCTTCGCGCGTCCACTGGTCGCGTGTTGCTCGAGCCCGGTCGCTCCTGGTCCAAGCCCCGGCACCTTCACGGAAGAACATTTTCATCAAACGACTCCTGGGTGTACCGGGTCACAAAAGAACCGGGTCTCTTACCCCTGTCGCCGGCGGCAACAAATCATCTCCGTCCGGACGGTTCCCCGCGTCTGAGGAGGCGTAGCTCACGGAGTGACTCCCTTCGTTCGCGTTCGACAAACCATTCCTCTCGATAATCGGCCTCTTCGTCGTCGCTGGGATCTCGCTTTCGGCGATTCCGCCGACGTGGCAGCTTGCAGCCTGAAGTCGGCGTAATCGTCCGTTCCCGAGATTTATCGCGGTGCAGGGTGGCGCGCGCGCTCGCGGAATGTCTTTGATGCCCTGGACTGTATCAAAGTGGCAGCCAAGGCAGTTCGAGCTCTCTTAATGGGCTATGAGTTATGGTCTTTCGCTGGGCTGGATATCCCTCTCAGTCTCACTTCGTCCTCCTATTTACCTTTCTCACCGATTCCCCCCTTTTCTTCTTCGGTTCGCTTTCATCCCTGCTTTCCGTTCTTTACCCGCTCGGAAGACGACCTCTGGATCGAGGAGGCTCGCTCCGGGGACGCTTTGCTCGACCGCTTTTACTACCCTTCGACGTCAAAGCTACACTTAAAATTCTGACGCTTTAGAGACCGGTACCTCACCTCTTTATTGCGACGACGAACCTCGACGTCGTACTTCTTGGGTGTCGTGTGTGTAAAACTGTTTCAAGGTTTTCAAATTGTATGCGTTGCGAGTCGAGCAAAGTAAAGGGATGTGGTTGGCTTTTTCAGCCGAAAATTTAGTATGTTTGTACTAGCACTGTCAAGTGAAAGATGTTGGAACACTCTGGCTGGATGCCTCTTCATAAATGCATTGGTAAATTAAGAAGTACACGTTAGCAGTCACCCGTGTCATCTTTATATTTCAAAGTGAAGTGGCGCGTTAGTAATCGATCGTTAAAGAAAATGTGCCGAGGGAAACGTGTACGAATAGTAACCCCATTCATCCAAGCAGCACGCGTACGTGCGAGCGACTGACTCGCTGTAAAACATTTATAAGCAGAGGTAGCGGTTAATGAGGAACTGAAATGGTAATGAGTACCGAGAGTGAGCCGTCAAACGAGCCAATGAAGCGATTAGATTCGACGTGATTCCCTTTCTTTCCCGGGTTTTCTACTCGATCCGTGGAATCCGTGCCGACATTCCTCGGTGTTTTTCGCGGCAATCGCGGCCAAGGGGAGGGTGCTTTTTAATGCTATAGACGAGTCCGCGAAAGGTATGCGCGAATACAATTATTAGCCAGCTCGAAGTGGCTTCCCCGTGCGTCGTTCTCGCGGCGGTGCCGGCGCTCATCTTTAATTCATGCCATCCGGTGGCTCGATCGATAAATTATAATTTCACCCCGTATAGCCCCGACGAGGTGACGGTTACCCATCAGCCGCCAGGAGGATCACGTATTTATACGATTTCCTTTCTGCGACGATGTAACATTTCCGATTATACCCTCATCCTTTTCGCTTTCGTCTTATCCGAAGATTTTTATCGGCACGTCAATCGCCGCGTCTGCATACGAGGAGGAAAAACATCATGAAAATTTATCAAGTCTCATGCCCGCTGATTCATGGTACTCGCATGGTTTGGTCGAATGGATTGAGAAAGCTATTCGACACTTTTGCTAATATTTCTATGTAAAACTATGAGTATGAGTGAGTTTACATTTAAAGTATAATAGAAGACAGAGAGAAATCTCTGGTGGTTTTTAGGTCCTCTTGTGCAGGGTGTCTAGGCACTGGTGGCACAAGAGATTATTTTACTCTTTTGGACATGGTTATTTTACTGTAAGTCCCATAAGTATTCGTACCTTCTATGTTTATTGAAGTAGTTTGTCTAAATTAAATGATAGATTTGATGTTTTCAAATAAATGTTTCATTATGGATATATACATGAACAGGCTTTACACATGTATATATATATTTATAATAAAAATTGATTTGAAAACATCAAGCTTGACATTAATTTAGATCAATTTCTTGAATAGATATAGAGTGCGCGAATACTTACGTGACTGACTGTATATGAAAAAACGAACGAAAACTGTAGAATATCGTTTTTTTCATATGGAGCTTCGTAGTCGAGAAAATCGAACATGAAAAGATTGAGAATCCGCGTGCTATCGGAATCCACTCGTCTGGCGTGTCTGACTATGGCTCGCCGTTTCTACTTATTTTGCTATCCACGACTATCGATGCGTCTTGGTGGATAATTGGACGTTAATTTTGTATTGTGGCCTCATTCTAGGAAATTAAAATTAAAATTCTCCGGAATTCCGAAAAAATACCAGTTTATCCCGGAGTTCGCAGTCGCTTCCCTATGAACGATTCACAGTTACAGTTTTCCGGGGCGATGAGTCGGCAGAACGCTTTTCGTTGAGATCGAGGCTGGGGAGGAAAAAAATAAAAGACGGTAAATCGAGAGTAAATATTTATTCTTGCAGGCTGAGGCAAGAGAGCCACGGAGGAGCCTGGTGCCCGAAGCAGCAGATCACGACGGAGCCACGCGAGTGGCTGGAAATCGATCTTCACACGGTCCACATGATCACCGCCACAGGCACTCAAGGCCGGTTTGGTAACGGCCAAGGTGTCGAATATTCGGAAGCTTACATGCTGGAGTATTGGAGACCGAAGCTGGGAAAGTGGGTCCGATACAGGGACGTGAGGGGCGAGGAAGTGAGTATATTTCAAAGGCGTCGCGATGCTTACTTCTAAGAGGTAGCAATTGCCCTTTTTATTACGCGTGAAAACTACGTCGTTGGTGCTTCCAATGCAAACAACGAAAATAAATGAATAAAACGAATGATCGCTTGCTTTTGCTTTCTTTTCTGTTTTCCTTTGTTCTGTAAACCTTGTAAATTGTCAAAGTTTGTATACTTGGTACGAATAAGATTCTCGATCGGACTGAAAGCGAATAAATTCACGTTAAGTTAGGCGAAGTGCACGGTGAAACAGTTATTGGCTCAAAGGAAACAGAGGAGGTGATGTACGGCAGGAAGGAGTACGTTACTCGAGACATATTTGTTATTTCGGAAAACATGAGAATCTTATTGGTCTCTCCGTGCCTGTACCCAGATACTATGTACGTGACTTCTTTCTCTTTCGATACAGGTCAATCTGTCTTCTCCCAAATGTAACGAGATTGCAAAAATAGTAGTACTATTTCACAACTGTTTCATACGTTAAGAACAAAGTTACTCGGCTTGAACGTACTAATGCGACTATATGAAAATAATTCTTTGCCAGAACCACTTACAAATAAAAGGTTATCGAGTAACAATGGAAAATTTCAGCATTAATTAAGAACCCGCGCCAGGAGCGAGGGCGGCCGCGTAAATCCTGCATAAAACCTCTCTAAAATAGGGAATCAGCGAACAAAGGAATACGCGTACAGGAACGTGAAACGGCGCACACGTGTTCGGAAACGGGCGGAAAATTTCACGGGCGTCGGCACAATTTCTTCCTTACCTTTTTCCTGTAATTTATCAACGAACGTATGAACACGACAAAAGAAACATCGAGTATGATAAATGCTCGGGGCACGAGCGTCGTTCGATGAGGGCTCGGTCGCAATCGATACACGTGTTTGGGCGTTAGCGTTTCTGAATAGCGAGCTACCGGGTCCTTCGAGTTATCACTCGATTGGGATCGAATTGTGACAACTCGAGATACAATAGTTGTAGCTACTCGAGAGACGAGATGTTTAACATTACGAGGAACAATATTTGTAACAGCTTGAAAGACAAGACTTCCAACTGCTCGAGGCACTATATCTGCAACAGTTTGAGGGCCATTACCGCGGCCAGGACCAGAGGGGCGCATAATTCAATTCAATTAACCAGTCACAACAATTCACAGGGACGAGAGATCGGCTCGAAGGCTAGGTGTAAGCGGAATTGCGCGGTTAAATTTAGTCACGGGGCGATACGCATAAAACGAGCCAGCGCGTGGATTATTGAGAATGATTTGTTGCGGTGTCCGCAAGTCTGCGGGCCGAGCGCGGGCTAGTAACTAAACCGTGACGTTAACAAGACGTAAATCTCGGACGTAATACGCTAACGCTCAAAAGTGGTCCGCAGCGGTCGATGTAATTTACTAGAATAGATCGGTCACCGTGAACCTACGACATTAATTAGCAACACCCAACAATGGGGGCTGGCTTGCCCCTCATTTATTTCGTTGGGAAAATATACAGTAGAATGCAAAAGTAGCCACTCTCGAAATGAATGCTTTGTTGCTTTAATTAGTATTAAATCCACCTAATTAAATTTTAAGTACATTTAACCCTTCACTGCGCCGGTTCTCTAATTCGATCAAACAAATTGATACCGTAAATGTGTATTAGTATCGATTTTTTAACGTTTCTGCCTAATAGTGCAAGTCTTACCTCATGAAGCACTTCGCTCATATTTGTCGGACTCATTTTTATTCTTCCTATGCTTATCTACATAGCGCTATTTTCAAATTCGAAGTGTTACAATCGAGCCCAATTTCTTGTTAGGATTCCTGGATACTTTTGCACCCAACTGTATATCTTCCACCGCATTACTTTCGCAAGAATCCTGTGAACTCAGCGGTCGAGATCCAGTCTGACGTCGACGAATGAACTGTCCTCGACACATAGTACGCGTCGCCGAAGGGCTCTTGTCACTTTGCGATACCTATTATCGCGCACAGCCACGTGGAACGCAGCGTAAATCATTTTGATTTAACGACGATAGTCGCGGTCGCGAGGCGAACAGTTTTGTCCGCTTTCGCATAAATACGACGCGTCGTTTGGCTCAAAGTGAGGCTCCGCGATTCTCGAAGCAAGTGAAAATCGCAGGTGGGTGTACGGTCGCAACGGCGCGTTTCCATTGAATTTTTAACACTTCGCGATATTCCCACTCCTCGGAGGCGACACAAAGGTAAATGTAAATCATCTTGACTGGCTGGCATTGTTTTCGTTTTCCGTTACCTTATGATTTTCGCTGTAGGAAAGGCGAAAGCTGGGGAAACGGAAAACTGAGTAGGCAGATCTCTATGAAAACGTGATATTTCTTCTGGATAACGAAGCAAATAATTCTGTCGCATTGGTAACTTTATATTACAGCTACTTTTCCTTTGAAAAATTAGTTAGCTTCGCAGTGTATTTCGCACTCGAGGTCAGGAATTTCATTCTAATTCAAGGATATTTAATTCAATAATTTATACTGTTGTTTGGTCGATGAATAATCTATTTAAAATTAATAATCTTTCACTTCTTTCGTTTCGAATCCACGAGTGGGCTCTGCAGTTAAGTTAAAAACAATCTCGTCTCCGTGGCATTGTTTTCAGTTTCGCGTCACCTTGTGATTTTCAGGGGTAAAAGCGAGGTGGACGGAAATATGTGGGTAGACTTCTATGGAAGTTCCACTGTTTCGCGATATTTGTTCTGAAGAGCGACGGGGGAACCAATATAAGTCATTTCGCTCCGCCGACAATAACATTATTTTCGAGCCGCGTATTTTTATTTTATTTCCTGCGAGAACGCGAGGCGGACGTTTTTACTCCGAGGGAACGATCGTGATTCCAAGGGAACGGAACGCGGGGGAAAAAGAGGGCGAAAAAAGGAGAAGGAAGAAGAAGGTGAACGTCCAGTCGACGAGGTGGATTTCCTTGGAAGTTAGTACGTAGAGAGGGTGCTTCGAGCTTATTTGTATAGGAGGGTGGATCAATAAAACGAGGGAAGGGAAAGTCGTCGCGTGCACGCGGGTCAGACGATTTCGACTCACCTACATAGGCGTACCTGGGGTGAATAGAAACCGAGGTCGTTCGAACCTCAGACAGCGCATCCCACGAAGGTCGAACTCGACGAAATTTCACCTCCCTTCTTTGACCGCGTCTCCCATTTGCATACCGTCGCGGAATAACCTTCACCTCGTGTACGATTACTTCGCGAACGCTCTATCCCTCGAATATTCTCAACAATAGTCGCAGGGAACGTCTCGGATTATGGCAGGTTTACATGCAGGACGACGTTACGACTATGCTGCGAGTATTCCAGGGGGTGTCGCATTTTGATCAAGCCGTGTAAATATTGTTGCAACGCGATAAACGCCGACTTTACCTGCCTGAAAACATAAAAGCTCTGAGAATCAACATAGAGACTGAGACTGGTCACGAATTTTGTTAAAACATGGAGGAAGTACTGCACGGATTCTAGGTTAAAGTTCGATTATTTCCTTCAAATTTAGAAATGCTCGCGTGTAGAAATATGTTGAAGAAATTATGGTAAACATAACGTACCCGTATACAGCATAAATAATTATGTAGATTTAAAAGAGCAAACGGTAGAAAGTAGAAAAGGTATTCTTAAGTAGAAAAGGTGGTTCCGGACGGACGTACGGTTGGAACTGACCAGGTAACAAGGTACGGCAACAGAACTTGCACTTCTAAGTACCTGGCTATCTAACAGTCCTAAAAAGGCCAGGGAGGCTGAAAATAACGGTTATCCTAAATATATATCGGGTGTAGAATTTTCAGAAACATATGAAATTGTTAGCTTACTTCAGAAAAATATATGTGCAGTACGATACAACACAAGTGTCATTTGAAAGTGAGTCCATCGCTCATCGTAGGTGTTGGAGACAACTCGCTCATCTTTTGAATTTTACCTTAATTGAACTATTCATCAAGTTAAGGAATGATTTGTTTCGAATTAAAATTGATAAACAGACACAGGTTTCCGCCCACGATATTTAAATTTTTTCCAATGTTCGATTATCGATGTAAGTCGGTATTAATCGGTCACGGTCGTAGCTTAAGATTAGTGATAAATTACGGGTACCAAAATGGTGGCAGCCTCCCGTCGATTTCTGGCTTGGTTTAATCTCGTCCATAAAGTATACTAATTAAATACACGATATTGTACGCCGCGAGCCACGAAACCGGTCGAAAAAAGTGAAAGGAAATCGAGTCTCGTTAATGGATGACGAACATCATTCGTGGTAGCGTGCTGGCTGGGAAAAAGTTGTCGGCCGTCGCTCGTTACTCTTGGACAGAGGCGCATATCGGAAGAAAATTAAAAGAAACTACGACTCAAGACCTTCGACTATATCAATTTATTTTCGTACTTCCACATGAAAGAATATGAACGTTCAAAAAGTGGGTGTTTCGGAAGGGTGTGAAGGTTATTGCGCCACTGGTTCTGCATCTCCACTGAAAAGATACAAGTTCGAACGAATCTGGCCACCCAAAATACCTGGTCGGGGACTCCCGGGCGGGGATAAATCTGCAGAAATACGTGTCTCGTTCCACCCGCTGCGCGGACCATGCTGTTCCTCGCTTAATTACACAACGACACTCGGCTTATCCGACGTATAATCTCTCCTAACAGCTCGGACTGGACCAGACGACGTCGGTGGTACCATGCCGTGCGGTTGTCAACGACCGGCGTTTACAGTCCGTTCGAATGAACCGCGGAGGAAACCAGGAATAAAAAAGGAACAGAATCGCGGGAAGCGTCTAATATTTTTAAGCAGCCGTATTTGGTGCGACGAAAACACGCGCGCGGACATAATTTATCTCGCTGATCCCTCGTGCTGACCTCGCGGTCTAGCCGAGTTAATCGTTTCCATAAACTATCTCCTCCTCTGGTATTTCCGCTAACATTCGACGAGTCTTGCGTGTGTTTAGCAGCCGACGACAACTGGTTCTGTTTTTTTGCATCGGTTGGAAGAAGTTTAATCCTCGTAAATATGAGATTTGAAGCGCTTTATTAGGAAAATGCATAAATTAAAGCAGGATGAAGTCTTAATGGGGTTAGGGAACAAAAAGACACGTTTGCGATAGGATTTTTCGCGACAACTTGCTGGTTGTGAAGATTATGTTTGCCCTCGGGGCTGGGTTATTAAGTACACCGAGGAGGAGTTATGACATGGTTGGTGCAAATCATACGGGATAATTCGTGATAATATCACGACTTTTACTATAAATAAGAAGGCGGAAATTGAGTCAATAGAGGGAAGACTGATAATATAACATCGGTATTGCGATAACTGTATTTGTTACATAAATAACCTCATCAGACATGCAAATATGCTTCATCAACAACACCATCGAGTAATGTTCTTTTTTTTTTAAAGAATACTTGAATATTTACAATGATATAAATGAATAAACTTAGAAATGTCAATAATTCATCTACACTTTCAGTCATCAATCCACAGAATCTCTGAATTACTCAATTAAATTCACCCTCAAAAATTTGGTTTGATATAGGTCAAACCAAATTAGGTCCCCCTTAATCCCCAGAGAATCCCCGATGAATCGACTGTGGCCGATCGTAGAGGTCGACGAACCTCTTTCGCGAACACATGACGCATCGGGAAATACGCGCGTCTACACTTCGGACCACCCGTTGCGTAAATATCCGTCTAATTAAACCGTCAGACGGCTTATCCGTCACGATCTTTCCTCGACGACACGAGGCCATCAACGACAGCTTCTGTTCTGTAGGAAGCCGCCGCTTCGCGGACTATTCGGGATCGAGACGCACGGAAACATTAACATAAAATGGGCGTTGGTGGCGCGCCACGCCCTGTCAGGACTTCTTCGACCCGTTGCACGAATTTTGTTCGCTACGAAAAGTGACGAAAAGTACCGGTGACGCACTCAAGAAAGTGCTCGTTAGTAATTGCACCCTGTCTGCTACGAATATCTCTTTTTAAAGGTGGATAAATGTCGTCCAACGATATATCGATGAGGTTGGTTTAAAGCTGGTTGAGATGTTCGATAATGAGGAGAATGCACCTGATTGAGAATTCGGTACTCTTTGAGCTCCTCTAATTTTGTAATGCAATGCACATTTTGCGTCGAATGCTCTTTTTTCGCCCAAGTGGATTATAATGAATTTTTACATTTAACGTGTCCCAGCTCTTGTAGCTCATCAATCTTTTTGTCTATGTACGTGCCTTATTTATACAAATGATTGAAAAAGTTCTGAGTCAGTGTTAAAGAGAACTTAAAGAGAACATAAAAATAAAGTTATAAGAATTCCTCTAATAAAGTTTCGTAAAACTGTCGAAAAAAGAATAAAGTTTTATAGATTTCCTTAGCACGCCCGCCGAAATACCGCTGTTCAGGATGATTTTTAAGGAACACGGTCGTTCTGACCGCGACGGAACGTGAAAAAGTTTTTTCGGCTCGAGATCGCGGCGTCGTTTCCCAGTCGGAACGCGTGGGTGTGGAGATAAATATCGAGATTACTTATTTTTCTTGGTGGACGAGTCGACGGCTCGTAAATGCCGCTGTATTTTCGCCCTCTCGTTCTCCCTTTTGCCGCGCCGACGACGAGTTTTCTCGGAATGAGCTGAAAATTTGCGGAATCCTATCGCGGTTCATTGGAAACGATTACGCGGGCGTTATTAACAAGCGGATTTTTCAATTGCTTTCAATTGCAGAGGATGGCGGCGAAAGGTTTATTGCCCGGCGTGATTCATAGATCCTTGTCGTCTAATGTACTTCCTTTATTCTTGGAATCGAAAGGAAACGTTGCTTGAGAATGTTGTGTGATTTTAAAAGAGAGGAAGGTATGAATGAGAATCTTCATATCTGAACGGATTTTCATTTTTTCTGCAGTAAAAGTTGAATTCTTGTATCTATTTAATTGTTTGATTTATTAAAGTACGCGAACTTGAGAATTTGTTCTGCAAATTATATAGTCAAATTCGAAACACTGAATTTTTTCTAATATAATTGAACAAGAATCTTACGAGTACGAATAAGACGAACAGATCTTAAAATAAGGTCTTAAGACTCGAATTAAGGGGAATGAGATGTCTGATCCTAATATCTAAACCAATACATCTCCGCAACTCATTTCTCCGGAGAACTTCTGTCCCAATTAAATTCAATCTCGAGATGCATAAATTCAACTTACGTAGGACTTCCTATTTCTCCGTATCCTTATTTGCTGGTAGGTTCGCAGTTTGCATTGCAATTTATTCTGATTTTCTGCCAACGTCACCGAAATTTCAACGCCGCGGAAGGTCTCCTTTTTCCACGGCCCGTTCGAGTAGACTTCTTTCAGGACTGTTTCGTTCGCGGGCATATTTCAGCCTCTTAACGAGCGTTTCGCCCAGCGGATCGTCGGCGCGCTCATTAAACTCTTGTAACGAAGTAGGAACGAGACACAGTTGTCTACGATACGATGCGCAGCGAAATTTCACACGTGTCTGCTCATTGTATTTCACCGTTGGCCCCAACCTGCCCCGCGCCGCAGTCGTTTCGATGTGCTAAACATCAGGTAGAGGCGTCGCGGCGGGAATAACGAGCGCAAATAAAACGGTGTCAGCTACTGGTCCCAATTACCAGGACTACCCCGCCGCAGAACGTGCCTGTTCCACCGGACCGCCGACGACGATCATCTTTTAATCGGGTTTCCTTAACGCGATCATGGCTCTGGCTACCAACTAAAAGAGTCTACTTGTTGTGAAAAAGCTGCGCGACGCCAGTAAACAGGGCTACGGGGGAGAACTGGATATTACAGCGCGTGGAATTCACTTCATCCTAATTGACTCTGGAAAAGAAACTTAGGAGGTATGATCACGAATGTCTGATCGTAATTGGTTGTACGTGATTTGATAACTTGTTTATCAGTAACGTTAAAAAGTAATTTGAGAATGTCACTTCGATACTTTTTAATGTGTGCTTGGTACCCTAGGATAGTATATAGAATCTCTCACCTAAGTACTCCATCTTATCACTTAATTCTGATGGTATAAAAAAATACCAGAAACAAAATAAAATATAAAAGGTAGCATCCCTTCTAGAAAAAAAAACCTGTCGATTCACCTAACGAGGATTAAGAACTAACCGGATGGAACATTTTACATACAAGTAACGTCTACGTTCGGCATCTCGAATGGCGACGCTCGGAATGTTTAATTATTGTCACTGCCAATGAATTCCTAAGGGAGAAAACGTGAAATGTTTTCACGAGCGTTATTAGGATTCGTCGAGGCATTCCACGGTGCAGCGATTTCTCGTTTCACGCGTTCCCGGATAGAACAACGCGCGTTCTATTCCGTCGGCGGTGCGCGAGCCCGAAGGTCGAAACGCGTGTATCGCGAAGAAGGATCGAGAATTTCTCGGACGGCGTCGTCGAGGGTCGTCCCTTCGAAACAAAGGACCTCTTATTTTCCACTTACGAGCCTGACAGCGCCTCTCGACTCCGCCTCGAGATTCTCACGTATGGCCGCTTACGTGACCGTGGTTATCGCGTTCGTGATCCCGACAGGTGTATACGCGCTATTTGAATGTTCATTATTGATGCGATCGATGGTTTATGGCATTTTAATGATACGCCTTGAGAGCCATTCGTCTCTTTCGGCCAAAGTTCGTACAGCTATATATTCTAAACAATTTGGACAGCTAAATTGGACGAAATTGGACGGGGAGTGGTTTATTCTAATCGCTGCAGATTCATAGACCGTTACACACACCCGTTTTTTTTTTCATCAATGTGGTAGGAAAATAGCCAAACAGATATTACACGTTGGTGAATATTCCTGACAACAGTTCAGTCATTTAAGAGTGGAATTAATTTGTAATAATATTACGATCTTTATCAAATTATAAATGGGAACAGCAAGCACCACGTAGACAAATTATATTTCTCCCTCTGCAATTTCATTATACGTTCAAAAAAGACTGACTGATTTCCATCCTGAAGACTTAGTCTCGACTCTAGTCTCTAATAATAAAATAGTTTTACGGATAATGTATCAAGCCCGTCGAAGATTAAAGTCGCCCCTAGCGTATCAAGCGTTTCACTTTCAAACTGAATGCATAATTAATAATTTTCTCGTTAATTATTCGTTGCAGGTGATCAAGGGGAACACGAACACCTACCTGGAGTCGAAGCACGAATTGGAGCCGCCGATGTGGGCGAGCAAGGTTCGTTTCCTGCCGTACAGCTACCATCGGCGAACCGTTTGCATGCGCGTGGAACTGTACGGTTGCCCTTGGAACGACGGAATCGTGTCGTACTCGATGCCACAGGGCGACAAACGCGGCAATTGGGAGTTCTTCGACGCTACTTACGACGGATACTGGGACGGCCAGCTTCTACGTGGCCTGGGACAACTGACGGATGGCAAGATCGGACCGGATAACTTCAAGATGGGTTATTACGATTACGACAGGGGTCAGGGCTGGGTCGGCTGGAGAAACGACACCAGGTCCGGTCATCCGCTCGAGATCAAGTTCGAGTTCGACCACGTCAGAGAGTTCTCCGCTGTGCACATTTACTGCAACAACCAGTTCACCAAAGATGTTCAGGTGAGTCTCAGAAACATTCGTTATATTCTATCTCGTGGCGTGGGTCGTGAATTCTTTGGATTTTTATTAAATGCGAATTGACCATGCGAATGTATTTTAAAAATACAGATCCACAGTGCTCAAGCTATGGTTAAATTATGTATGTTAAGTAGCTCTGCTTTAGTTAGTTGTGAGGTCTTCTTCACGATAGATTTAACCCTTTGCACTCCGAATTATATTTCAATGTTATCAGCAGCTCCCAACGTTTTCAAGTGTTTTATTTAAAATTTACTTTAACCAAAAAAAAGGCAATTTAAATAAATAAAGGCGGAAACAAATTCACTTAAATATCAGTTTTATTCTCACTTTTGTTGTATTTCGTAATTTTCATACGTATAATATCTCTTGAAACAATATCCTTCACTATTGATTTGGACACGTAAGACTGTCGAGTGAGACTCGACAAAGGAGTTCCTGAGATAAAAACTGATGTCGAGTCACAGCCGACATCGGAGTGCAAAGGGTTGAATTCGGCAATTACCCCCAAGTTTGACGCGTAACCTGCAGCTAAGTCGATTTCGCGTCGTGATTTGGAAGGTAGGGCAAAAGGAAGAGACAGGAAAACCTGGTACGAGAAACCAGAGCCTTCCCCAACGTTTGCGGGTCGTGATCTCCGTATCCCCACGAACAAGACCCTCTAGCAGATTTTTGGCCCGGAGAACAGTCACGTAGCTACGTTCAACAACATGCAGCCCTGAAGTCACGTTCGATGTCTGTTAGCTTCCACTAGTGGTGCCTCCAGATCCCGTAATACATGCTCCCTACCTATTATTCCGTCAAACGCATAAATTCGTCAACCTCGTCGGTTCACGGTTCATCAAGCACGTTAAAGACATATTCTGTTCTTGAAAACTGGGAATATTACTTATTATGAACGTAGAAAGAAGAAAGTGCATTTTAGAAAGAAGCATCAAAATTTCAACTCTTTAGGGTTAAATTAATTTGCACTCGGTTCGCGACTTCAACTCTGTCGTTCGATTTCCATGGAACGGTTGGTGGCTTGCTATCGGTTACCAATGGTTCGACGATGGAATTTCCATCCCGTAATCTCCTTGGCACCGATCTCCGCGAATACAAGCCCCGATCCGCGTTATTTTCAAATTTCCTCCATGATCGTTCAGCGAATATCCGTGAAAATGCGCGAAAAAATTGTAGATAGACGCGCGCACGACAGGGAGGAAATTGGAAGAGCCCGCGGCGGTGGCTCGCCAACGTGGAGCTACGATACAAAAAACGAGTGGGAAAAAAAAAGAGGAGAGAATGAAGATAGCGAGGGAAAAAAATGGGCGAGCCGCGGGGTAAGGGGTGCGGCAAGGGGAGGAAAAACGACGAGAAATATGGATATATAAAGTGAAAAAATGCGAGACAGACAGTCGTGGCGAAATGCGCGCGAAGATCTCACCGTCAGCCTTTAATCCGGGCTTGGAGAAGGACGAAAAGAAACCTGGAGGGTTGGAACGACGGTGTACGCCATGAAATCTAGTTTCCACGTCGGAGTCAAGGTCGGACGTAGGATGGGTAACGAGGCGCAACAACGGTTAGCCCCTGGGTTTCGTGTGGAACGGATGAAAAGAGAAAGAGGAAACGAGGCGCGGGATTTTACAGGGTGGCAACAACAGAGGTGGTTGTGGTGGTTGTGCCACTGACGCAGGGTGTTGGCCGTTCTGTGAAAATTTTCCGGCCCCGCGTGCTTCCGGCCACGAATTTCTATATAATGGCCTCGCTCCCGCTATCAAGATTTATTTCAATGGAACCCCTCATTACCCTGGACAGAAATCTGTTCCATAATCGAGCAGCCGAAGGGACCTCGAAACAACAAACAATCGAGGGGGAGCGCACGCTGCTTTTGGGAAATGAAATCTTAACGTTTCGTCAGGTCTGAGGAACTCGAGTGTCATCGTCTTTTAGATCGATGAAGAGTTCGAGGAAAATTGAAGGGTTGTGTACGTATATCGCCAACTCCGAATTCTATTTCAATTTCGTTACCAGCAACTCCCAACGCTTTTTAGTGTTTTATTTAAAATTTACTTTAACTAAAAAATAAGAGAAGAAACAAATTCATTTAAATACCAGTTTTATTCTCGCTTTTGTTGTATTTTGTAATTTTCAAGTGTATGATATCTATTGGAACAATTTTCTTTACTATTGATTTGGACACGAAAGACTGTCGAGTGAGACTCGACAAAGGAGTTCCTGAGATAAAAACTGATGTCGAGTCACAGCCGACATAGGAGTGGAAAGGGTTAACCAACAAATAAAAGGATGACGAATCCTTTAGTCGTTCTGTCGGATGATAAGATTGTAAACGGAGATGTACATAGACATCTCTCAGAGACCCTCGCCAAAATATTCAATAATTCCTAATAAATGAAACAGGAAGACGTCGCGTTTTTAAGCTCCACGCTAAAACGAGACTCGACAGGGAAGTGGTTGAAGTCAGACAGTTAAAGTGGTCGTAGACAGACAGGCATCCGAGAGACGGGAAGATGGAATGGCTCCCGAGTTCGCCTCTTTTTTCCTCGCGTTCCACGAAGAATCGCGAAGTCGCGCGTCGTCAGAAGGAGAATGGAAGTTTTCCGGGGGCGACGTCGCCTCATGCGCGAATCTATATAATAGGCCTCGAAACACTCTCCTTACCGGTATCAAGATTTATTTGAATGGAGCGCCTCATTACCCAGCTCGAGGCTCGATTGTGTCGGCTCGCGACCGGGCAAGATGGGGGGTAGGTGGCGAAGGCAAGGGCAGCAGAAACGACGGCTGCATCGGCTCGGGGGTTAGGCCGAGAAGGAGGGAAGATTCGTCGCAGGACGGGGAAGGTAACGTCGAAGAGCATGAGAAACGGTCTGCAGTGTTGTTCTTTCTCTATCTCTCCGGTACGCACAATGGTGGCGAGCAACGAGCCGAAGGAGCAGATACGCCACGTATTCAAATACAATACCGACAGTCTGGCAAGTCTGCAGTCTATGGGTGAGGTATGGGGAACAAGCAAAGGGGTGAGGTGGGTAGGTGGTAGCAACCACCCCTAAACGTCCCCTTCTATTAACAAGCGCCCGCTCGCGCGGATAGGACACGTCTTCTGAAAGACAGCACTTCAAAGCATCGCCAGTTTCGCTCCTCGTCTCCTCCTACCCCTCCGAAACAGGCTTCGCGGCCGCCACTTCGTCTTCTTCGGCTTCCTCATACTCCCGGGCCGTCGGTCGTCGACGAGCTCCAGAAGGCTCCGACGGTGCTACCTTGAAAATCCATACGCGTCGTCGTTGCGTTCGTCTTTGGGGGCTAAGGGAGTTAGATAATCTCAGCTTTGTAATCTCCGTTTCCAAGCCCTTCGCGCTATTCTCCTGCCTATATCCCACTTTCTCCCTCACCCTCTGTTCGCGTCTTTCCAGCTCGCGTACGCGCTGGTGCGTCAACCTCTACGGCTTTCCGCCTGGCATTCTACGCGCGCAACTATCTTACGCTTTCCTGAAGTGGAATTAGCATTCCGCGCGTCGCCGCCTCCTGGAAACGCAGCCGCGGGAGGCTAGCAATTATCGAACTCGTCGATGTCAACCCACGGTTGCCTCTAGAAAGTTGCTCGTTATTATCCGCGATAAATAGCTGCGAGTATTTGTGCAAGAGAAATTGAGGGAATATGGTGATATCGGTTGGTAAATACTCCGCTGTTCTTGAAGCGAGCACTGTCGCTTGAGATAGTCGTCATCTTGGTCTCTAATTTCTGTTTTTTTCCAGGTTATATTTCTTTTTTAATTGTTCCATCTAAAACAAAGCGGAATATACTGAGAATAACACCACGAGATAGAGCACTATGAAATAGAGACGTCTACGTCGAAGCATTTTTAGATGTCGTTAAACGTGGTTTTTATTGGGAAAATGCAGTTTAAGATATGGTTCCGGATACAAAACCATATGAGATAGACCCTAACGTATAAAATTCCAAATGGGGAGAACCTAAAGTAGAATTAGCATTCCACGCGCTTGGGGGTCTTGGAGACGCAGCCGCGGGAGGGCTGGCAATTATCGGAGTTGTCGATGTCAACCCACTGTCGCCTCTATAAAGTTGCACGTTATATCCGTATTAAATAGCCGAGGTGTATTTGTGGAAGAGGAATTGCTGGATATATTAATATCCGGTACGCTCCTCGACGGAACGCCGCGGCTCCCATGAGCTCTAAACGTGCACCGTAAGATGCTGATTTATACATATAATTAATGTTGAATATTAGCCGCTATATCATGTTTAGTGTACACAATGAGAAGCTTAATTTTACTGTCTGAAATAACCTTTGCCGCGCCACGTTCCACGTATCCTCCTAACGACGTGTTTTACGTTTACACGCTCCGCTAGCCGCGGTTCAAAACGTACCCTCGGGCGTATAAAATAATTCCACCCATTTGTCAATTGCGTAAACGCGAAAAGTCATGCGAAAAGGGTCGCAAAACTCGCGACTAATGTTCTCCTATAGCTCAGCCTTGTCTAGCTGTTTTTACGTGCTTTTGTGCTCCGCTCCGACTTTGTATTTGCGTTGGGCGCCCGTAAGCGGTTTACGTCGCAAAAAAGCTGAAGAATTTAAACGTGTAACTCTTCGATCCTTATGGTGATACGAGCACTTTATTTTTGGAAACCTGTCACGCCTTCGTGTACCTATCCTCTTGGGAAGTTAATCTTCGTCGCTGTTTCAAATCACCTGCAACGATTACAACAAAGTAGCCACGTATAGTGATTCGAGCCTGAAGATAGCCATAAGAAACATCTCTATCGGTTAGCAACGCAAAGAATAACAAGTGACCCTTTTCTGCCAACAGGTGTTCTCCGAAGCGAGTATAATGTTCAGCGTCGGTGGTCGCTACTACACCGGCGACCCGATCGTGTACTCGTACATGGAGGACAGGATCTTCGAGCACTCGAGGAACATCTCGATCAAGCTGCACCATCGCATCGGCAAGTTCGTCAAGCTGAGACTGAGCTTTGCCTCTCGTTGGATCATGATCAGCGAGGTCACCTTCGACTCTGGTATGTACAGGGTAATTAGGAGTTAGAATCTTCAATGTTTGACATAATAAATAAGACTTCATGATCGAAAGATTTTGCATATACAGTTAGTCTCATAAGTATTTGTACCATCTATTGAAGATATATGTCTGAATTAAGTTTGATGTTTTCAAATAAATGTTCCATTATAACTATATACATGTGTAAGGCTTATTCATGTACTTATTTATAATGAAAAATTAGTTTGGAAACATCACACCTGTCACTTAATTTAGACAAATTTCTTCAATGGATATAAAGGGTACGAATACTTATGGTACTGGCTGTACTAGTGGTATGTCACTTGAAATTAATGGACACCTCGAACAGAGGGTGCACGAGAATGTTACGTTACTTGTGTAGGAGTCTAAACGAAAAATAAAGCATGGGGATTCGAATCCACGATCCTCGGATCCACAGTCGACCGCTTTACCTACGCGACCAATCCCGTACCCTACGTTTCGTGTTCTTGTTTGACTCCTTATTGTTGGGTATGGGAGGCGCGGACACTACACTTGGTTAAAGTACAAAACTCCCCATCTAAAGGTTAACAAGATTACTACTTCCGTTGAATTTTATTCCTCTTGAAAAAGTAATTCCAAAGGCAAATAATTAACGCAACTCGTTGAATCAAAGAACAATTCGAACTCATCCTGTTATCAACTAATCATGATCAGTGGGCCGTATCGCGCAGTTGTCCTTAATCTCAAGCCCGAGATCACGAGAGAATCGTCGATTCTCTGTTGCAGACGTCGCTCACGGCAACTTCACCCCGGAAGCGCCCCCCACGACCGAGGCGCCGAGATTCCGGGATCCAATCTCGGCGCGTGACAATCCACTTCAGGCCGAAGTGCCAGTGGCGAAGCAGGACGATCCGACTTACATGGCCGTGATCATCGGGGTCCTGACGGCTGTGATCCTCCTATTGGCCGTCGCGATCTTCCTGATCGTCTCGCGGCACAGACAACGAAAGAACTTCGCCAGCCCCTTGGGCGCCAAGAGCGCCATTCCTTCTAGCAATCATCAGCACCTGTCCCCAGAGTCTGCGTACGGCACCACGGAGAAGGACCCTTCGTTGATGACCTACAGAGTCGAGGATCTCGACGATCGGTACGCGGGAACCAAGTTGACGACGCTGCCCCGCGATCTAAACGATCGTCTGCTGGGCGACGTTCGATTGGACGAATACCAGGAACCCTTCCACGAGAACAAGTACCGGGAACCACCTCACGCCGCTTATTACGGTTATAGTACCGTGGTTATAGACAACAAGGACCTTCACGACAACGTCGAGCAGTCTGGTGAGTGCGTGATCGATTGCTGGGAATCCCCTTGACGCTTCTAGAGACGGTAGTTTAACTCCAAGCGTTTGGCTTTCAACGAAGTCTTCGCGTGGTTGAGTGGTTTTATGCTTGGCTTGATTTAAGAAATTAGCGTGTTAGCGTCGACAAGAAGCAGTAATAATATTCAACCCTTGAGGAGTTGGGTTGATAACTTCACAAGGGTTACCTAAAGTAACGACCAATTTTTCGCTGTTTTACTGACCATGAGGGATAGATATGTAGAACGTGGAATTCACTTTGTTCGCAGATGCCACTTACGATTACGCAGTACCAATGCCCGTGCCTAGTGTAAGTAGCGACCAGGACAGCGTATTCTCGAAGTCTTCATCAAGGGGTAGCGCGAAAGTGAGTATCCACGAATGCGTGGAAACCAAGTAGACTAATTTAAAGCGCATCGCAGACAATAGTGAACGTCTCAAAACCTTAAGTTTCGAATTCAATTTCAACTTGCTAAATGTATGAGCAACATATGAATTTTCATTGCGCAAATCGATTAACTCCATAAAACAAAGGGTTGAGAAATGCGATGAAATGGCCTCCGAAATGAATTATTTATTATTCAATGGCCACAAAAATGTTGTCGTTTAATAGTGTTAACCTTTCTTATTCGGGAAAGTTACTATAAATATAAAAAGTCATGATTGTACCAAGAGTTTTGACAATTAAATTTAAGATTTTTCAAAAAGTGGAATTAATCGATTTGTGTAGTGAACGGCTCATAAATACTTAATTTTTATGTAGAGTTACAGAGTTTAGTACCCGGGATAATATTCTGTGGCGCATCCTAACGTCTACCACTTTAAAAGTAACCTGAAATTTCATTTCTGTGTCGTCTGTGGTTGCATCAGGCGTGCTTGCAGAGCTTTTTCCCTCCGCCGCCGCCTCCCATGAGCGCGCCACCCCCACGAGGTTCCAGCAATCTGACGTACTCGAATCCTCCAAGCCCGGAGCCAGTCTGCGAGCGCGATCGCAGAGGAAGCAAACGTCGCGAACACTCGTTGCACAGATACGCGTAAGGATCTCAGCAACCTGCAGAGCGCACGCCGCTGGATCAAAGGTACGACAGAACATCGTACTTGACGTAGAGAGATCACGCGGTTGATCCAACCCTTCAGCATCCACGGGGTCCCTCATAAATCATCGCGCGTTCCCACTCCATTCTATCAGACCACGGGAGTTCTCAGCGTCCGCATCGAGTCACGATTTCGATTTGTACATAATCAAGCTCTAATCATCGAATAAGCTTGGAACGATCGGTTCCACGCGTTCTTTACGAATCCGCAAAAGTAGCTGTGGATGCTGAAGATGTAGCGATAACGTACGCGCTGTTAGCGTCGACACGAAAAAGAAGAGAAGAAAACGACACGGGAGATCGAATCGACTGCAGGCGAGTTGTAAACTGCTTGGAAATTTCAGGGCACACTGATCAGAGGCGAGGGACATTCTCTGATAACGAACGAAAGATCAGCGCACTTCTGACTCCTTCGTGCCTGTATCTTGATGTAAACCAGTTTCACACAATTCGTACTAAAATTGTGCGTGAAATTGTGTGCTTCTTAAAGAATTATAATTGCATTTCTTACGAATTTGCTTTCCAAACAGACTGATTGAATATTTAAGAAATATAATCACTGCAGCAATGCACGAGCACAAAGGAGTCGATGCGTTCTCCATGCTGAATTACATTTCACGTTGAACGAATGAAAGCTTATCTGCGTAAGTGTCCCAGCGAATGAACGCTGCGAATGAATCATTATGCAGAGTTTTCATTCATCCTTCGTTCGAATCAGACACTGCCCGTCTCTGCAACCAAATTAACCGAGAGTTCAATGGAGCCTCGACGCAGTCGATTTCATTGCGATCTTTCTCGACGAGCACTGCCATTGGCGCACTTTCTGACCATACTATATACTCATTAGTAGGTGTACCTCGAGTCTCGTGCTCGAGAGGACTTAACCTACTTCCCGTAGGTAGGCGAACGTGTAACCGGAGTTGTAACTACAATTGGCATATCAGTTTAACGACAACGCGCGATAGCTGCGACGACTCTTCTGGAAATTCGATTCTCGAAGCGTTCGCGAAGCCAACTGCGATTCTTGTTATCGACTCTTCGCAATCTTTTGCTACTATTAACTATTTTCTGCCATTTCTAAGGAGCACGGGGTGGACGCTTCCACAAACGAGGAAATTAGTCGGAAAAATTTACATAAAATGAACACTCATATACGTTGCCTGCAAGAAAATTTCTCTAATTTCCTCGTTTATTTATAATAGACGTTGAAACCACAAAAAGTGTTCGTATAGTTTACGTAAAAGGGCATGCAACTTTCTCCTTTTATTCGACTTGCAGCCTTCATTTGAAAGCAAAATACTGTATGGTAATAACGCGAGCACCCTGTACATCTTTCACTGCTTTTTCCCCCGAGATACGTGAAAAAGTTATTTCAACTCTCTCTTAAATTCCAAGCTACGGGTGAGTTACAGGTTTCTCGAGCTCCGCCCCGGAGGATCCGCCTAAAAAAAGAGTCATATTTTTCGTTGATACAACGCACAGACAGTCGCACGTACACGCGTGCATATAGACATCCAAACAGTGCTCGCGTGCTGCGAACGTTTTTCCGCTCGGTGCAACATTTCTTCCGCGCCGCGTGACCGCGCCGACAAAAAGCAAACGCAGCTTCGTTAGCGCGGAGTTCCGCGAAGGAATTGTCATTCGCGGTTCTTTTCGCGTTTCCGCGTTCCGTCGCTGCGGAAAAATGCGCCGTGCGCGATAAGGTAACCGCGGGCACCGACCAGAGATAGGCAAAGTTTTAGTCGATCCGTAAATAACGAATAAAACGTGGAGCGATCTATTCTTCCGACCTACCAGTTCAATTTTTAGCTGTTCATTGTGAAATATTGGTAACGGATATACGTTTTATTCATTATTGGAACGAGTGATGAGTAAAAGCGATATGCAGTAACTCATTCCAAACGTTCTTTCAATCGAATTGAATTCGTGTTTGTTCATTGTGAAGTATTTTATTGTATAATGGATTAAATTGAAATTTTTATTTAACGAGTCACAGATAGATGCTCTTTTAATCGGATGATAAATAACTTGTGAAACCTGTTTGTATTTATTTGTGATTCATTTCCAATTGAACACTTAAATTTTTAATTATTCAGTCCAGGATGCTATATTCTATCATTCGAATTCTAACTTCATTTTCACTTGAATAGAAATCTTCTATCTTGATCAGAGTCTTGACCATTTCTGGCACCAATCATCAACCGCGGATTTCCAGAAGCAGTTCCGCGGGTTTAACGGTTTTGTCTGTTCGACGCGCATGAGCTACCGGATCGAGCTCGCTATCGATCCGAATGAGACGAACGATAAAATTGAACGAAACGAAATGAACAAATGAAACAGCTTTTTTTAATAAGAATGGTTTACGTTTAACTAAAATTGTGGGAAGCGTCGATCGCTGGATCGCCGTCGATTACTGGCACGTTTATCCTAATTGCCGTTAATTGGCGTCTTGATGGGCGGACGTTTCGAGTTTGGCGGCGTGTTCCGAACGTCAGTCTATCGTCGCGAGCCAAGCGTGAAAAAGAAAAGAAATTGACGCGTGATCGGCGGTGCTGGTATCGAGCGTTCCCGTGTAGAAAAAGTTGGAGTCTAAAAGATTCGCGAGGAGGACGAACGTGAACTTTAGCGAGCTTCGATCCAGCTTCACACAAGACTGACGTCAAGTAAATAATTGAGTATCCCGAGCGTGCAGACTGCGTACACTATGCGCACGCGTGCACGTATTCGTCGTATTATTTATTATTGCAGCATATAGCGCCCCTAACGAATCTTTAATTTATATACATATATACATACACGCGTATATATGCGATATACACGAGAAGAAATATATATATATATATATAAATATAAATAGATATATATACGAAAAAAATTGGTAAGACGTAATATCGGCGGATTTTAAGCATATAATAACGATATATACATATATATATATCGTATAAGCCCGACTTTATTTCTCTATTCACTTACCGACATCGCCTTCATGCAACGAGGAAAATCGAGAGATTAACCGACGTAAGGAATCGACAATACAGGGATGAGACAACAATAATTAAATACTTGTGTACGTAAAAGCGGGAAAATTGTTGCGAGGAGTAAGTAAATAAATCGTGTACGGCGCGAACGAAGGAAAAACCGACCACATTGTGATATATTAAGAAAATTAATAATAATAAAGTAAAGCGAGAGGAACGGGAACCAGCTCGACAGCGACGAGCGAACGGGTGAACCGTAGACTTTCGTTGAACTTCTCGTGAAGAACGTGTTCCCTGTATATTCCGTTCGCCATGCTTAAGCGACAATCTATTATACGGTAACTCCTAGCAAGTTGTAACTCGCGAGGGAAAGAGACGAAACTTTATACCATTCACAAACACTGATTTATTTTGCTGAAATGTTTTTCTTTCGATCCAGATACTATAAATAACGCGCGAACTGGACTGCGCAACTTTAACGATACTTTTTGATCGATTATAAGAAAAATATACGCAAGTTCAAGAACTCATAACTTCTTTTGCAGCCTGCGAGGAGCTACCGTGCCTAGCATCCATCGTTCCGATCCCACGAAAAGTATCTCCAGGCTATGATTCGGTTCGTTTAATTTCCTCGAAAGTCTAGAACCGTTCCAGGAAAAGTTCCTACAGCGCACTACGGGTACCCGTTCCTCGTCGAACAGGAGGAAACCACGCGTAGCATCTACAACGATCGGAACTTAACTATGTATATTTAGTGTTTAATCGTCGATATCGTCGCCACCGTAGAATGTTAAAGTAAACCGTAAGAGTGACAGCTTCGAGTGCTTCGAGTGTAAATATAACCGTTAGGGACCTCGTGACACGTACACATACTCTCTCACACACACACACACCTTTCAAGCGCCTTAAGTTGGGGGGCACCGAGCAAATAACTTCGTCGCAATAATAATCGTCGTTTACTTTATCTTCCTTTTCGTTTATCATTTTTAAAGATGTAAGGGAGAACAAGAACGAAGGGGGGGAGGGGAGAAATATCACGGTACAAGCGACTATCGTCGTAAATAATTCAGCGGCGGACTGATAAGAGAACGAATGCTTCAAGGCTCTTTGGAACGATTCTCGACGATCGACTGGGACGTGTCCGGTGCGTCCATGTTCCTACGGTTGGATCCAAATTAATTCGCTGCTCGAGGTCGTTCGAAGATTATCTCCACCCTGATAGAGAGTTAAACGTTAGATCTTTTCCGAAATACGAAGTCGAAACCTAACCCTTTGCGTTCCTATGTCAAGTGAGGCGCGACAAAAATGTATTAAAATCAGAAAATATGGACTGCGAATGGTTAAAATTAATAATATCTCGAGTCTCGTAATAACCATCCTCTAATCCAAACGCAGAGAAGTATCCATAAATTGTCCCGGTTCCCATCCGATTGTGCTTTACTGTGAAAAACATGAACGTGTTACAAAAGAGAACAAAACAAACGCACGTTCGTGTTTCGTGTAGACAAGTGCAATCTGATAAGACCCTGTGTAGTCTATATGAAAAAATGTCCAAACGTTATCACGCGTATAATTTGCATACGTTGCCTATAAGACAGTAAACCGATATTGGAATTTCGATTCTTATTAATTCGCTTCCCTCTGAGACTGATATGTATTCGAAGAGAGTAGAAGTTCGCCTAGTGTGAAAGTGGGACTCGCGAAAAGGTGGCCTCGAGCGGCGAAACGTGTTTGATCCGACTTCGGTCGAGCCGTTCGAGTTTCGCGGCACCGATGACAGCCGCTACGCGATCGCGAACAGAAGAACCCAAGGTAGATACTTATCGCGCGGCGCAATTTTTCACCGAACTTCTGCAATAACACCGGGCACCGAGCATTAAGTACCTTGAACTTCTTGCACTTCCAGTACCTAGGCAGTTCGCTCCTGGCAATAATCGTCAATTTATCTTAAGCGTGCAGAGAGGCGGCAGGGAGCGACGTTCACGCGCAGACTATACGTTAAGGAAGAATTAAATCAATAACCGGCGGGGGTGCGAGAGAATCCGAGGGGTTAGATTGTAATAAAAAGAACGGAAAGAAAAAAAAGAAGCGGGAGAGGATCGTTAAGGCGGAGCTCCTCTCCTCCGCGACGGAGAGGTAGATAAAGATGACGAAGGAAGGTACTTTCGTGCCTGCTCACAGCGTACTTCTTAGGATACTTTATGGTTCCTTTGTGCAGCCGGGGCTGCACGCTGCCGACACGTCAATGACATCGGTGCCGAGTGTGCACCGAGATCACGGCGATATCGCACGGTCGTTCTAAATCGTTCCCGCGACTTGAGCGCTTATTCCATCGATTAACACTAAATTCTGTGGCTATGACCTCGTTCGCAATTTTCGGCTTGCCTAGCTAGTATTTCTAAGGTCTCGTGTTTCCATAACTGCTCGCGAGGAAGTTGTGGCAGTCGGGTTTTTGATGTCTACGATTCATCCAGGGGTGTTCGACCTCCTAAAACCAGTCGATGCTCGCGGCCCGCGACTCCCTTCGCGGATACAGCGTCAACGATTACCATACCCCGACGACTTCTGTTTCCTGGCGCGCCCTTTATGAGCCCGGTAATTTTTCTTCCCGCCGCGACGTCGTTCTCGATGCGGGAAGATACGCGAACACGGTCCACCGATATCGGCGAGATAGGACACGATCGGTTCTGCATCGGTACGCACGATACAGAAAACACGGGGCTAGGAGCGCGGCAACCGAGGGAACTTCCCGCGTATAAATCACCCGTTACAACCCTTTTTCAATCCGACATGAGAAATGCGGGAAGAAGCCCGACGATAGTGGCGGGACGTCTGGGACGGGTGTGCGGGGGGAAAACTGGCCCATCTTTTATTCGACGTCGACGTACGAGTGCGTGCGCGTACACGAGAGAGGGGAAAGGGATAAAAAAAAAAGAAAAAGGGGGATGAGCAGAAGTGCCGTTTGATCGACCGGCCCTCCAGGCTGCATTATGCACGCGTGTGCACCACTCACACGCGTGCATCGCCTACGCGGGATCGTCCGGAAAAATTTCATGCAGCTCTCTTGCGTTGATTGCGCGAGCACGTTTGAGCTTCGGGACAAACTTGAATTTACGAGCGAGCGGGATCTGTACGACTGTGATCTAGGACAGCGTTTCTCAAACTGGAGCCTGCTACGATCTGAGAAATTAATTGTACCGTGGACCGAGCACTGTCTCTTGCAAGTCTTCTTGGCTAGATCGTTAAAAGATTTTGGTTTCTTCATGAATTTTTGGTTTAATTTTAAATTATTATGCACTCCAAGAATGCATGTCTGAGCTGAATTTCGTAATTTTAAAATGAATACAAATCGTTGAAACGTGAATACATTTTTAAGAAAGTGTTTGATATTGTGTTTGTTCTACTCTTGGAAGTCTGTCTGAATTATCTCGTATTTAGGGTGCGTGTGAAGAGACGAAAGTTTGAGAAACACTGGCGTATGAGATCCAGACTGCAGGACGACGCGTGGGTCAGGTTGAAGATGTTGAAGCAGTGGTAACAGAATGGACAACCGTGGCGTACACGAACTGTAATTTTATTGCTTCGTATGAACCCTTTCATGTACAAACGTAACGTCTGTTATTATTCTGTTTGAACTAATTTACATAATTTTCTGTATCTCGGAAACTCCGGATCCATTTTAAACTTTGAGTACGTATGCACGTGTGACGCACATACGGAATCAATTAATTTCGTTGGTATTAGAGAGTAATACTCTTGATTCTATAATAAAATTCAATAAAAAATAGCATCGAAAGAAATCAGTTATATTTGTCGCGCACTTGTAGATCACGTAACTGTGAAAGCGGGAAATAAAACAAACCGACTGTAACTGTTGTGTAAAGAGCCGGATTTGACAATGGGGAAAATATACGCTGTTGCTAAATTCGATTCGAGAATTAAATCATGGAATTTAGAGTGAAATCGAAACAGTTAGATTACACGGTGGAATTCGTACCCTGTTACGTCAACGCTTTCACCCCAATTTAACGGGAAATCCGCTTACACGTTGACTGACACATCGTCGATCTTGGTACACATTCGGTATAAAGTCAACCCGATGAAAGTTTTGTTTGGATTGGACCCGGTTCGTCAAATACTGGCCAAATAAAAAATGTAGAAGCACCACGATCAGAGATCGCTACGTTGATTTACGCTATCCGGTGCTAAATCGATCGCTTAAACATTAATGACGTTAGACGCTTACCCACAGAGATGAACAAAATTCTTATTTTGATTCGCAAAGTTTTCTTTGTTTTATGTTAAATATAAATTGGAATTCGAATGATAGAATTACATTACATTCGATGTTGAATGCATAGAAACTAATGTATGAAATGCAAAAGGTTAATTTTACCCCCCGACTGTACGTATTTCTATTCGTAATCGATTATTCTATTAAAATCGTGACCATCTCTGACGATTAACAGAACCCAGTGAGCAGGCACAATGACGGAAACAACGACAACGGTTAATATCATAGGTTTAATAGGGTCGACGATTAGAAGCGTTCTCGCCACCCCCGATGCTATTAACGGCGCCGCATTATCTCTCAATGTATATAGCGATTGTAATTTATACCTGTATGTGTAAACGTATTATAAATACACCCGTCGACACACGGGAAGCGACCATTTTGTATATAATTGTATCATATAGCGTAACAACAATGAGTACGAGTGCGAGGATAAACGAGAAATATACAGCGAACGAGCGAGAGGGAGAGAGTGGAGATTGTGTATAAGAAAAAAAGATACCACTGTGAGTGTAATTATATTGATCAATAGCATAACGAGTAACGGATGCATATTTGATATTGTGTGCCTGTATCCTTTTGTATGCTAACGAGATAGACGAAATAAAAAAAAAAACTATACATATTATATTGTACTAATCGCGACGTAGGGGAAACTACGAGTAAACGAGGTGTAACGTGCACACACACGAGTACACGCGAGAGGAACACGCGTACAGAACACACTCTTCCATGCATATACGAACACAGACCAGACTATCTTGTCCTGGGTGGACGAAATAAAACTTTTAGCGAAGCGAAACCGAGTCGATAAATTCCCACAGTCCCACCGATGATTCGTTTTATCCCTCCATCCGATACTCCTTTATCCTCGTGAATAAATTGCTCCGAAGCTGGACAAATTTTTTTTTTCCTCGATACTTGTAACAGTTGAGAAGAAACAGTTGAAGCAGCACGGGATCGTCAAAAGTTATCGATCAGGTAACGCCATGACTATAGAGTACAGATTTATATAAACACATCTGAAAAATTTCACGTAGAATCTCCGCAAGGACATTAATCATCGTAAAAAGTTCCAGTTTGATACATCCCGCGCTTGTCTTTCAAAAAAATTCCGACCACTGGCTATTTCTCCAGGAAACACCTAAAAGGTTAAAGGTAGGTTGGAACCATCGGTCATCGCTGACCGAAGCAGCAACGAACGCGCTAATGGTAAGAATTCCTGGACCGTGGAAATTACAGTGGCGAGAAAACAAGGGTAATAAAGCGTAAGCAATAACCCCGAAGAGCCACCCAATATTTTACTCCCGCCTCTGTCCCACGCGAACCCCTCGCGTAAAGGGTTTTCGGCGAAGATTTTACAAGTAAATTGATGTAGCCGTGTACAGCTCGCGTCAAGGCAGGCCCTCGCGGTGGCTGTCGTCCTTTCATCGTACTAATTTGGCACCGTCAACGACGTCATTTGTCATTCTAATGGCCAGAACGACGAGCCACGGTTTTTAATGACTGGAGGACCAGAGCGGCACGCCGCTGCCTCCTCGATCCGCTTTTCCACTCTTCTTTTCCCGCGGAGTTCCTCTTTAATTTGCCCTCGACACAGTGCTTTACGCTCCATTCGTCTGTTTTCTCCTCCGTTTCTTCCCCCGTGGCCCTTCCTACACCCGTCCCATTCAAGTATTTTCTTTCAGTGGAAACACGATGCAAAGACGAGTCAGCGACCGCCGCGATGCTCTCCTTTTTCCTTTTCCACCCTCTTTTATATTCCTCCGGTGGGGCGCCCTTTCAGCGGTTTCGTATTTAGAACTAGCCACCGCCCGGGTCTTAAATCCTAGTTGCGCAAGACGCGTCGAGTGGTGTGTTTAAAACGCATTCTTTCGCGCTGAATGTATATTCGCTGGAAATTACGCCCGCCTCCACTGCTGTTAATTAATTCACGGAGAGCTCTGCTCCCTCTTTGTTCGACCCGCCCTGTCCAACCCCGACTACCTTTATACTTTAATTCGTTAACCGAGGTGGATACAAGCGCCAGCCGGAGGTGGGGCGAAAACCTTACCTCGATGGAAATATCGAGTAACGGATGATGAGGAAATAATTATCTTGGACAAAAAAAGTGAGTAAAACGAAGGTAGGTAGACAGGACTAAAAACTATTGTCGACTCTTCCTAAAGACCTAAAACAAATAGATAAAAATTCGAGTGCTCGAAAAATTTATCTTTTTACAATTTTACAACAGTCTCGCAAGTAGCTCGCCAAAGGCGTCGTAAAACAAAAAGGAACCATTCGTGCCCGAGTAAAACCACGCTGTTTGGCTCAAAGCGAGGGGGTAAAAATCGACGGTGTAACAGGGTCGGAGTTAATGCGACCACATTTACTCGAAACAACCCCGCAGACTATTTCTTGGGTGGTTCGATGGGGCCTAGGCGAATAGCCGGTACCCACAATCGGCTCCTCCACCTGAAAATGACGAAAAGGTGAGCCCCGGCTAATGCGCTTCCTGAGCAAGCCCCCAACGGCAGCCATTATTGTTTCCCATCCATCACGCGACTCAGCCGAGTAAGTGTTGCGACGGCAAATATATCTCACCCCGAAAATGTTGCTGCATCACGTTCGAAATTACGGTTAAATTCTAGGGAAGCGACGAGCGCCTTTGTGCGACGCGCAGTTCCGCTTTGACGTCGCCGTTATCGCGCGTCCTAATTTGCCTCACAATTACACGTCGTCTCCGTCGCTCGCTAAGTTCACGGATTGCGTGGATCCGCCATCGGAAAAGTCGAGTTCGTCTCCCTTCTAATTAAAAATTAGAACCTGCCTTCTGTTTGATTTATAACTGGAATAATATATTGTTATATATTGCCACTGTTTCAATAAAAATTCTTAACTTGTTTATTTTAATTTTATTTAGCGTTTTCATGGCACAAGTATATATTGATATATGAGAGATAAACACTGTGAAGCTCGAAAGTTAGGAAAAAATGATTCGACGGATTTGAATACCGTTTACTTGGCTGCGACACATAACGTGAATAATGAGAACGCGTTGGATTACATCGCCCGAGCTTTCAAGAGATTAATCTTCGGCTGAGCCGCCCGATCCTTTAATCTCCTTTTCATTAAGTGGCGTTTTAGTACTCGGCATTAGAAACAAAGTCCCCTGCGTATGCGATGCAAAGAGACCACGCGTATGCTCCCGAAGTAACACGCTTGCGGCAGTTTCACATTATTTAATTTCAATTCTTTTGTATTTTTTTTTTTAGGAACTTGCACGTTTTGCTCCTTGGTCGATCTTAAAATATGATTGAAATCTTGAAATATCGTCGTACAATTTTAAAGATATGATTCGATGCTTCCTGCACCAAGCACTTCCAACAATTGCAATTTTCTACACGAATACTTCTCGTTGTTTAGCAAGCCCCGAGAAACCCGTTTTTCCTCGACGCCTCTGTCAATTTGATCAACGACTGTGTATATCTCGGAACCTCCTTCTCTCAATGCAGAGTCATATTTTTACCACGAAGTGCGCATTTCTCTCGCGTCAGGGGTTAGCCACGACCTTCCATCCGCGGTATCGACTCCTCGCAGCCGTCTTCGAGCCGTTTTCCAGTCGGTCCAAAAATAAAGTGTCTCCCCGACGCGGCCGCACCGTCGTTCGCCCAATTATAAAAGCTGTTACGAATTTGCCGAGCGATTCTCGTTCCTTTCGAAAGGAGTATTCGCGATTCGACGCCGGTTGCATCGAAGCGGCCGTGCATCGCGCTGAGTAGTGACTTCCTGCTGGCAATTAGGAGGGAAACGGGGGCAAAAATAATGCCACGAAACGTCGCGAACATGCCCCGAGTTCTAACGACCCGTTGAGAGGGACAACGACGAGGTTCCGCGGTGTATCTTTCCCCGGTGGCGAGAATATTTGTCATCGAGCCCGGCCATTTGACATCCGATACTCCTTGACGGCGTCGCGTCGCGTTGAAGAATCGCCGTAGCCCTCCTTCGACGCTCCTCCGAACCGTCCCCTGATTTCTCTCGCTGATGGTTCCACGAAACGTGTCACCGGTATCAACTTGCTAATTGCGTGAAATATTATAGTATGCCGGTGGTCAAACGCTGGCTGGCTTCTTTGTGCCTCTTCTCTGGTGTCCAAAGAAAAATCATATGCTCCACCTCGAGGCAGGGTTCACAAAATTGAGCTGCTTCATAATTATATCCTTGATAATCCTAGGATTTTGTAATTGATGGACACAGTCGAATTGTTTTCTCTATCATTCTTAAAAATTGGGAGATGTGTTCCTTTTCTTTCTCCATCCTTACGCCTTTTTTTCAAGGTTGATTATTTCATTCGTATCATTTCATAATACTAGAGTTTTAGGGAGAATCTTCCCAACAATTACGCGTTTATATGACAAGCTTCGTGACGAAGGGTTCGAGGACGGTCCCGTAGCACCCTGTCACTGACGTCTAGAGCAATAACCCGAGTGGCTTCGATGAAATTGATCCGATCAGCTGGCCCCTCGAGGCCACTTCGCGATCCTCGAGCCGTTCGCTGCGAAATGCTCGAAAATGACGCGGCGCGATGCTCGAATTGGCCAGCTAAATTATACCCCGAGCGTCGAGGAGCCATGGACGATCTTTTTAATCGACCCGATCGGACGCGACGACTCGCGTGGGACCCCGTCCATGCTCCATTGTTCGTCTACCGCCTGGATAGGGGACCCTGAAGAGGCTGCCATTCAAATGTGCAACCAAGTTTCGCATTCGCCACACGGGCGACAGCTGGAACCGCTCACCGTCTGTTCACCGCTTGTGCCGATTATCTAATTGATCAATTGTCTCCCTGCCGTGATAATAAGCACTCATTTGATTAAGGCCACTCGTCGACGTCGAAACCTTTCCTTCTATTGCCTGGTTCCTGTTTTGAGTTTCTGCGCGACGCAGTTGTCCATCCCTTTGTAACCACTAACCATCGCCCCGGAGATCCTTGAGGCTTTCATTTATTTAATTCGTACCTTTCGACGCTTACTGAATACACGCGTCCGTTTGAAAACGGCGGTGCACCGACATCCGGAAGTCTCGAGCGGCTCTTCTCGAATTGGACACGAGGAAATTAATAATTAATCGAATCGGTGAATTGGAGAACCATACAAGTCCGCCAAGAACGGTTAGAGATATTCTAGGGAATAGTATTGGTTTTTGGTCGCGTCATTGATTTTACAGTGCTGATCTAATTTGTGCTAGCCATGGCATGGTTAAACCTGTTCGGGGTTGACAACTACGTTTCTACGTCAGACACTTAGAAAATAGCACAGATATTCAAATACACGCTTATGGTAGCCATATATTATTCACCGTAGACAATTCCAGAGCGAAACTATACCAATTTCATTTTAAAATTACACCAGTTCATTGCCACTACCGCTAATTAAATATTACCAGGCTGAGCCTCGCGTAGCGGGGGGTATTCCACTTGTCTCCGCCACAACAAACGATACTTCCTAATCGAAACGGCGCGTAAAACGTTCGATCAACGAGTCAATCCGATTCGAGGGCCCGCACCAATCGAAATGGCAAACGCACGGACCGGTACTTGAAATTGAGGTTTCGCCGGGGTTGCTGAGAGGAACGAGATAAAGAATTGCTGTTTGATTGTTCCGTTAATTCTTGCAGGGGCCTTTTGCGACATAACCGCAAAACGACCAACCGCTGTGCGCCCAGCTGCGGGAACATCGAAACCAACTGGTTGTGCACTCCCAGTGGCTAACTGGTAATCATGTCCCTACTAGCGTTGCGGTAATGGCGTACCGACAAGATTAAAAGTACTCGTCGATATTAAGGCTTTCCTGTCGCTCGTTTCCACTACCGTTTACAAGCGCCGTGCACGATTCATCGAAACTTCCTCGTCCGGAAATCGTATCTCTCCTAGGGAGTACCTCGACACGGAATATCACAGCAAAGACATCGAGTTCTTCCTTTGAACAATTTGCGTCCGTAAGTGGAATAATCCGCAAAAATATGGCTGTTACGAAATGGACAGATACGGTGTATGTGATTGTAATAAAGAGAAAGTAAACCATTGTA